TCTGGGGTATATGATCTGGATGCTGCTAAGCTCTCCTGACTTGTTTAAATCACTTTTTCTTTACCCATTCCAGACACATTGTTTTCCTTTCCATGCTGTGGCTACAGGGCTTGATTGTGAAATCCCTGAGCACTGACAGAATGAGATATGGTATCAAAGTGAGACAGGAACCAGGTGACACACTAGGCATTAGGACAAAAAGAAGATGAAGCTCAGAAGCAGGATGAGGAGAACTTGAATATACAAGGATTTTTTTTTAAAGATTTATTTATTTATACAAGAACCAGGATACAGGCCAGATGCATGGGAGAGTGAGAGGATTCACCAGAGACAGAGCGGGAAGCCGAACAGGCAGACTGATGAAATACACTGCTGAGGGGAGCAGTGGGCCAGATAGGAGAGGTCTGCTCTGCCATGTGGGAGTCTCGCCAGCCGGCTGGGATCGAACCCGCGTTGCAGAGGCTGCAGACAGCTTCACAGTGCAGTACTCAGACACCCGCACCACCAGGGAGGCCCTACAAGGATTTCTATCAATAGTAATAAGAGCTACCACTGAGGTAGCACTGGCTATGTCCCAGATTGTAAGTGCTTACCCTCAACACATTGACCCAATTAATCTTTTCAACAAATTTATGACGTAGATATAATTATCCTCATTTACTAACAAGGAAGTTGATGCTCAAGAATATTAATGGCTTTCCCAAGATCACATGTCTGTTAAGTCATGTCACTCTCCTCCTACAGACAGACAACAGACAGACAGACAGACACACACACACACACACAGAGGACGTATTAACATGCATATTTAAATTAGTTTTAATGGCAGCTTTTAAAAAGAACTACTGTGGCATAGAATGAGAGTTGAATAAAATTATTGTAAAATAATATAGTACATATTTCATTTATTATAATAGATGTAAACATGCATCTGTTTAATGCATAATTTATATTATTGTGTAGTAATATACATAAATGTAAAGATTTAAGTTTGATCTTGGATGTTCTACTATTTGTATAAGTTGGCTAGTCACTCTATCTCTCAGGAGTTCTGCTTCCTTAGCTATAAATGAACAGAATTGAATTCTAAAACCTTAAGACCTATTGCAATGATTAATTTTATGTGTTAACCTGTTGTGCCATGAAGTGAGGTGTCCAGGTATTTGGTTAAACATTACTCTGGGTGTGCCTGTGAGGGTGTTTCTGAATGAGCTAACATTTGAATTGGTTGACTGAGTAAAGGTACTTCCCTCCCGAGGGTGGGTGGGCCTATCCAATATGTTGCAAGTCTGAGTAGGGTAGAAAGGCAGAATAAGAGAGAATTTTCTGTCTCGGCTTATCTGTCATATTGCTGGGTATTTGTTCTCTGCTTATTTCCTCAAGCTTCTCTTGCTTTAGGATTCAAACTCAGACTGGAACTTATATCATTGATTCTTCTGTGTCTCCAGCTTGTCACACACTCATCTTCAGACTTCTTAATCTCCATAACCATTTGAATCTCTCTCTCTATGTATATGTATGTTTGTATGTATGTATGTACGTACACAGACTAAAGATCCCTATAATAATGCTGATAATTCATGATAATATTTTTTTCAAATGTATTATGATTGAACTCCTTTTTCTCCCACATCTTTCTTATATTTGTAGAAAGTTTTGGCTTTCATCCTATAGACATGAGGGTAAAAACAGATGGTGTGGAGGTGTGGCAGAGTAGATTGTGGTTCCCAAATTGAGAGACTATTTATCAGAAAACTTTGAGTCGATTTGTCTTGTCCACATTGCTGAACAGAAAGCTTGTACAACTGACATAATTGTCACCCTCTTCATTAACTCCTTTGTCTCACAGCAAAGAAAAAATATTAGAATATGTGGAGCTCCCTTTGAATCTAATGAAGGATAATGCTAAAAGAATTACTGAATTACAATACATAAGCAACACCAGCTTAAAACAGCTGTCTTTGCAAATGTAATTTGTTAAATTAATAAAACTTTATAAAGAATAATATTTTCGGGGCCTCCCTGGTGGCGCAAGTGTGTTAAGCACCGCACCATGAAGCAATCCGCAGCCTCTGCAGCACAGTTCAATCCCCAGTCGGCCAGGCAGAAACCCACATGGCGCAGCAGACCTCTCCTGCCTCGCCTGCTGCTCCCCTCAGCAGTGTATTTCAGTCAGTCTGCCTGTTCTGCTCCCCACTCTGTCTCTGATGAATCTTCCTCCACCCCCGCATATCTGGCCTGTACCCCAGCTCTTTTATGCATAAATAAATAAATCTTTAAAAAAATAATATTTTCACAGATGTCCTTTTGTGATTCTTAAAATACTATGTTAGATACTCCATTAAGCAGTGATGAGCAAATTGCATGTAGAAGCTATGTAGAAGAAGTCATATTTTGTGAGACTTTAACCAATATATAGTTTTAGGAACTGGGAATATTACACAACAATTAAATGACTGCATATAATGGCAATGATTGGGAAGTGATTTTATAATTACTTCCAAACACAATGTTATACTTTTTTCAAACACTTGCCAGATAACAATTAAGAAACAAGTCATGGGGCCTCCCCTGGTGGGAGTGGTTGAGCGCTGGGCTGCGGGGCTGCCCGCAACCTCTGCAGCGTGGGTTCGTTCCCCGGCTGCCGGCGAGGGTCCCACAAAAAAAAAAAAAAAGGAAAGAAAAAAAAGAAACAAGTCAGAAATGGGATCTTAGACATTATATTGTCTTCTCTTTCTCTCTATAGATATATTTTACCCAATGCAGAGGAAGATAGCTTCCCTTTTGAGGTTATAGCTATTATAAACCCTGGGGCTAGACCATTCAGATTTCTATTCTAGGAGTACTTTTTCTTTGCCTGCAGTATTTATAATTAAATGTCTATGTTTTAGAGGTAGTTTTCAATATATAATTCTATGAGATATAAACTTCTTTTAATCAAAATTTATTGGCTTGCCATTTGTTTACAAAACTGTATATTTTGGGAGTATAGCTTCAAACCTTGATTTGTGTACATGGTTCACTCACCCTCTGCCAAAGTTCCAGTGTATCACCCCATTAAATGGACCCCCAATGGCCTTTGTCCTTTCCCCTCAGGTAACCACCCTATTTTCCTAGAGCCGAAGAGCTATTTTTATTGTATTTTTTCCAGTTTGTTTGCTTCGGTTATTTATATTACACATATGAATGAAATTACACAGTAATTTTCTTTCACTTTCTAACTTATTTCACTTAGCATAATCACCTCAAGTCCCATTAGTGTTGCCACAAAAGGCAAGATTTTTTGCTTTTTAATAGCCGAGTCATATAAATGAGTAGCTTCTTTCAGCATTGAATAACGTTTTGGACAATAGAGTGTCTTGGAAATTTCTTATTGAAATAAAAACTAGGCCTGAAATGGCAATGTGAATATAACTTCTGGTTATGTATGTCAGAGTGACCTACTTTAGTTTATAAGAATGGCCAAGCGCTTGGATGTATTATCAAATAAAGGCTCATTCAATAAGGCTAAACTGTTGATTTTTGACTTCAACGCTAAGATGAATATCACAGTTAATAAATTTAAATTTTAGATTTGGGGTCATGCTGACGCTTTGTCACTAAAGCACTTGCTGTTCACCAATGTGCCAAAGAGAATGGTCATGTAAGATCATTCTCTTAACCCTTGTAAGACTCCTGCAAATTTCATCATGGCAGCACCTCCTCCAGTCCAAAGGCTACCCTGGGCATCAGGGGTTAAAACCTTCAAACCAGGGCCTCCCTGGTGGCGCAGCGGTTGAGCACTGGGGTGCGAAGCTGCCCGCAGGCTCTGTAGCACCAGTTCGATCCCGGGCATCGGGCCAGGGTCCCACATGGCATGCAGACCTCTCCTGCCTCACCCACTGCTCCCCTCAGCATTGTCTTCGGTCTGTCTGCCTGTTCTGCTCTCCACTCTGGCTCTGATGAATTCTCTCACCCTCCCCCGCTTCTGATTGTACCCCAGTGCTTGTATAAATCAATAAATAAATCTTTAAAAAAAAAACAAAAACCTTCAAACAAGAGGTGAAAAGAAATATTCTTTGGGGTTGCCAGACCTGGAAAACAAATTCCAGTGCCCAGAGTTGGTTGTTAAATTTGTGTGGAAACATCAAGAAAAAGCAGGATATGAAATCAAGTAGAATAGAAGCCGGTGTTAGGAAGTATGAAGATTTCACTGGATCATTGGATAGCAACTTTTATAGTGAGTTCCTGTGGACTCTAATGTGGGAATTCTGGGGTCATCATGGCAAGGAAACTATAATGTCAGTGTAGAAGCAAAATGGGAAAAGTAAAATAAAATAAGGAAAATGAAGTCTTTGAGTAAAGAGAAATGGTCTACCACTCCTTATCATGTTTTACAAGACAAAATGGTATTTTTTTAAGATTTATTTATACAAGAACCGGGATATAGGCCAGATGTGTGCGAGGGTGAGAGGATTCATCAGAGACAGAGCAGGGAACAGAACAGGCAGACTGACGAAATACACTGCTGAGGGGAGCAGCAGGCGCAAAAGGAGAGGTCTGCTGCACCTACTCTGTCATTTCTAAATATTTGATAAGGAATCATGATGGAATGGACAATCCTCCCAGGGAACCATTGCTTTCTCACTTGCAGACTGCTGTGCAGTGTCTGTGTGTGTCCTTACCTGGTGGCAGGAATAGGGTGAGAGACCTGTAGTGTGCAGGTTTAAGGAGGTCCTTGCTTTCATGATGAGGTCAGGCATTTGGCATTTTTGGAATTAGTGATAGGGTTAGAATCAGATAGTCTGCATGCGTGATCTTATGGCCTCTGTGTCCCTTTTCCCCCACCCTAGTCCTGGCTCTGTGTGTGTGTGTGTGTGTGTATGTGTATGTTGATTCCAAATGTGGGTATTTATCTTTTGTTATTTTCTTTATACTTTACAGTTAAGTTGATAGGCGCTATTTTGTTTTCACATATGAAGACTCCCAATGCTAGTTTCTTACATAAGAAGTAAACTTACCCATACTGCATCAATATCCATGCAGCTTTTACAATTCAAGTTTCTCAAAGGCCACACAAGGAAGTTACCACCAGAAACAGGATTGGAACCAGCTAGCTTTTGGTTCCCTGCTTCCACCACACCACCTGCTGCCTTCACATCCAAAGACAGACTGTTGACAGCCTGATGAATGTGTGAACAAGCAGGAACCTCAGGCCACTGCACTGGTGCTTGTAAAAACTGGTTTCAAGATGATTGCATTTCCAAAAAGGAAAACTACTTTTTTCAGTCATTGTGAAAATTTCAAAATATAGGGCCCCCCAAATCACGTTATTCTTATTTTCACTCAAAGATAAGAACTAAAACTTTATGCATCTTTCCTCAGGCTTAACTTCTCACACACAAATGATGTTCTATATTATTTGTATTATTAGTTTCTAAAAGAATTGGGCTTATTCTCACTATAATGTTATCTTCTTGTTTTCATTTAATATATAATGTGTTTTCTTAGACAAAATATGGTACCATTACAGAAATATTTTCAAGGTTATTTAATAATTCCATTGATGGATGTTTATATTTTTTCTAGTTTGTCCTATAACATCTTTATACATTTCTGGTATTACTTTCTTAGAATTTATAGAATTAGGATTACTGGGTCAAATCTATGACTTTTTGAGGGATTTTTGTTAACTTTGCTAAACAGTCCTGAAAAGAGGTTGTAAAATATGCATTTCCAACAGCAGTTTATTATTCTGAAGCTAGCTGCCTTTCTGTGTTTGAAATAAGCCTATTCATTTTAAATTTTGACTGCTACCCTATGTCATTGGTTTTTCTTATTTTTAGAGTCATGAAATACTCAAATAATTAACTTATTCATTCATTTGTTTTTCAAATATTTATTGGGCACAAACTTCAAATATAAAGGAAAACATTAATGATATAGTTTTCCACCTAAAATAATATATCTAAACTTGCCGAGCAACATCAACTTATCTGAAGCATGGATTTAAAGAGTATACAGAAACTATCTCATTCAATCTTCACAACCATCAAATGGGATGGACACCATTAATGTTGCCATTATATGTAATGAGGAAATGGAACTGTGTTTCTCAAGATCATGTAAAAACAGTCATGCCATGCTGCCATTTTCTCCTTCCTCAGGCATCTCATAATATTTTATAACCCCACGCATTCCCTTTGCTTATTCTATTAGGAATTGTTTCTATAGCCTCCAACTCCTCTGTTAAATCTTCCTTACTGTAAGTCCTAGCTTAAGTCCTATTCTTGTGATTGCCTTGTCCCAAATTAAAAGTTGCCCTTTGCCTTTCTGGCAGCTGATTCCTTTCTGCCTTATTTAATTAACACAGATGCAGATATTATTGGCAGACTGACTCAATGTCAATTCTTGCTACTGTGGTGTTGGAAAAACTACTCATTGGCATACCTTCCTACAGGTCAGCATGGTTACATGGTGTAGTTCTGCCATGTGTTCAAGGCACTGAGTAGGGAAGCTTGTGTTTCCTTATAAAAAGGATAGGCATTCAAGGAGAGCTCTCTGCCTCTTCTTCCTTTTTGCTTGAGTGCCGACATGATGCTCAGAGATGTGGCAACTGTTTTGCAACCACGAGGTAGAAAGTCCAAGGTCAGAAGTTACATGCCAAGGACGGCAAAGCAAAGGGACAGGACACTGTGAACTAGTGCACGTGAACCACTCATCTACAGGCAACTTAGATATGAGTAATTAAAATTATTTATTGCCTGAGCCACTGTTAATTGAATTTTCTGTTTCTTACTGTAAAGGCATTCCTAATGGATACAATGGATTTGTCCATCTTTACCATGAGATGACAACTTTTTGGCTTAATATATTTTAAATTCCTTGATGGAAAGATTCTACTACCTTCATCTTTGTATTATTTTTATTGCCCCAACCCTTAGTATAGACCCTCCATAAATGCTGGATTGAATGAATGTGGTTTTACTTATCAATATAATTCATTCAGCCAAGAGTGAGTGGAAGAAACTAAAAATAACGGCAAAATAAAGAAATAGTTTTCTTTAAAGATATTCTGGGAAAGCTGTTTTAGATTTTAACATTCTCCCTATTGATACATCATCTAATCTGGGCAAAGCTGAACTCAGAATGTGAGTCAATTTCCATCTTATTTAGATGAACTTTGGAATGGAAGACATATTAGTAATTTGTTTTTGTAAGATCTCACACAAGGAAAAGATAAATAACTAACAGCAGTCATGTAAATACAGCTGGATTTTTCCAGTGATGTCACCCTGCTTCACTGTGTAACACTCCTTATTTGGAATATTCCCCTATAAATACATTCAGGTAAACATCTGCTATTTTTGCTAAGCCTTGAAGATCTACCATGAAGCTATTTTCAGTACTTCTGTTCCAATAAAAGCTTCATTTAAAATTAATACGGAACTGCTGAAGTTGAGTAGGAGGATTCAAAGCACATACAGTCCCTAGATTTATTTTGTAGACGGCAGCTATCAAATATAAAAGTGTGGGAACTACCCAGTTTATTTTCTGACTTTTGAGAAGTAATATTTAAAACTATTTAGTCTTTAAGAATGTAGACAAAATACCATTACTTCCACAGGTCTTTTCCTTTATTTTTTCTAGGTACATACAAAAATTAGTTATTAAAGATCTTCTCTTAGGATAACCACTTCAGTTTTTAAGAATTAGATGAGTGTCAGTTTTAAAAGGTCATTTTCTTAGCTATTGATGTAATAATATAACAATATTCTCTTATATCGAATGAACATGAAAGCTATACCAAAAATGAATATAGCCTGAAAATGGTTACTGAGAAAACATCTCTCTATAAAATGTGTATGGAACTTAAGTGTTTGCTCAACTATAGTGAGAATGCTATATTGAGAAATGTATCTAGCATTTCATTTTATCTTTTAAAATGTATTATTTTGGGGGAGGTAATGCTAGTTTACAACTCTGTATACGATATAGGAGTAAATGTTCCTTCCTCTTCAAACAGATGTTACCAGCACCAAAGAACCCCAATACTCCCTTCAGTCTACTGTTCCCCCTTCACCATTTTTGCTCTCCCCACACCCTCATCATAGTTCTGTTGTCAGATTCTAAGGGTTTGGTTTCATTTACTTTTATGTGTTCCTTTGCGTTTATATTTCACATATGGGTGAAATCAGCTGGTATTTGTCTTTCTCCTTCTGATTGATGTTGCTTAATTTAATTCCCTTCAGTTCTATCCATGCTGAAAATGGCAAGAGTTCATCCCTTTTAATAACTGAGTAGTATGCCATTGTGTAAATACACCACATCTTCTTTACCCAGTGATCTGTTGCTGGGCACTTAGGTTATATCCATAGCTTGTCTATTTGTAAACAGTGATACAATGAATATAGAAAAACATACCTTTTTGAATTAATATCTTACTATTCTTTCAATAGATACCTACGAGTGGAATTGCTGGAACAAATGGCAGATGTATTTTTAATATTTTGAGAAATTGTGTGCTGTTTTCCACAGAGGCTGGGCCAGTTTACATTCCCACCAACAGTGTATGTGGGTTGTCCTTAACATTTTTAATAACAATGAATATCTCAACTCCATGCATATTTCTTTTCCATTAGCAAAGTGGTGTAACTATATCTTTCACAGAAAGAAAAAAGACCTCTGAGACAATTAGCTTTAAAATCTTGTAGGTAAAAAAATCTAAACTAATTGAAATGGACTATGGCAATTCCATAAATGCATAGCCTGTCAGCATTAACTGGGATCTAACTGATTATTCTTCTAAACAGTAATACATATTAGTGAATGGCCAATGAAGCATTGCACAAAAAGTCATTGTGCTCTCTGGTATCATTGTGTTTTGTCAGTGATGGCAAAGACCATCCTTGTGAAGATTCACTATAATAAAATCTCACATCCATACAGATATGAGATGAAAAGGCTCTCCTCAGCAGAGATGCTAGTTGTCTGCATTTGATGGCTACAGCTGCACTTGCCAAACCAAAGCAAAACTGACAAGGAAAGGCACTGTTCTGAAACAATAATTTCATGGGACATTATTAAGAATTGACAGGTACCTAAAAAATATGATAACCCCATTTCATTTTGTTTATAGATTTTATGTCAAGAGTTCAGTAAAAATGTCTCCAAATGTGAAATTCTTTAGGCAACATTAAAAACAACATGAATACAGAGATGTTCATAGTCTGGTTCATTAAATAAGTTAAAATATTCATTTCCTAACATACTTCTGTGGTTTTGGGGGTGAGGGCAAACCTGCCTACAAAATGTTCAAAGGCAAATGCTATAGCTGTAAAATAAGTGCTTCAAATCAGTATTTCGTAGAGATTGGCCTCCATGCAAATCACAGTAGCAATCTTAGTCACCAGCCCAGGCAATTCTGTCCCCAGGCCACTTCCATTGCATAGTTCCAGATAACTGTTGTAAATGAAGGTTGTGTTAGTTATTTATAATTACTGTAACTCTACAGGCATTTATTGAACACTGTGCAGGCACTACTTCGCTGATTTTTCCCAACACCCTTAGGCAGCAGGTTCTATTACCACGTCCATTCTGCCAGTGAGAAAACTACAGAAAAATTCTAGTAATGTGGTCAGTGACTTGTCCAGGATCAAATAACTGCCACCAGTAGACAGAAGTCCAACAACTGCTAGAGCAGAAGATTATCTATTACATCACCCTATAAAGCAGAGACTGCCTGATTCCAAGACAGCAAATAAAGCAAAATTTCAACTGGCATTGACTATTATTTACGTGAATTTTCCTGTTTTCAAGACATTACTTCACTTTAGCATTTCAGCAAACTTCATTCAAGAACTGCTTCGAAGATATATTATCTACTAGGTAGGAATTTTCAAAGTGATCTCTTTATCTTTTTTGCTGTGTTTTAAGGACAGTTTAACATTCTGCTTTTCTATTCACCAATTGATCTTTTTTGTCACCTTTCTTCTATTCTTTGCCCTAACGAAGGAAGCCACAGAATCCCAGAGGTGTTAAGATTAGAAGAGTGAGCTCGCAGTACTGCAAGATGCTGCTCTAAATGCCAATATAATTCTACAAGAGACCACAGCAGCAGAGTGGGTGAAAGAAGAATTTCAGTAATGCATGAAGTATTATCATGGGCAACCTCATTATCCCCCAAAAGGCGAGTTTTAGAGATACATCAATGCAAATGGTTCCAGAACATGAGAGCTTT